TTACTGGCAAGATGATGCTTATTCTGCAGCGTCATATGACTGTTACTGCGTGTCATGTGTAACTAAAAATAAGCTTCACAAATCAACCTCTTCCATACATTTCATTGCTTAGATTGTCAATAGTTCATATAAATGAAAACTTCACTTTGAAATGAAACACCAAAATTCTTTTTTATTTTTTAATTCCATATATAATGTGAAATTATGAATTCTGATTTTGAAGGATCGATTAAAATGACTATCTGGATTAACTGTAATTGTTAATTCATAGTCGAAAGAATAAAAAAATGGAAGAATGGGAAAAATATGAACAAAGGAAAACTTGCTGTGGCGCAAATAAGAAGATAAAACTCGTTTAATGGCAGATCGTAATACTGATTAAGCATCATCATCAAAGGTGAAAGATAGATCCAATCCCACATTGCTAATTCACTACGACTCATGTGGGCCAATATTAATCTGAAATCTTCCGATTTTTCACTCTACTAACACATATTTAGAATGCTGATAATGGCAAGTAACCGCAGTAAAAGAGAAAATTATGAATTATTATTCAGCTTCATTACTCATTCCTGCATCGCTTCATAAATCTACTTCATCTGCAGTAACAGTAAAGTAGAAATAAGCATGGTTTTTAAAGCCCATTTTTTAAGGTGCTCTTATTTCGGTATGTCATAAATTTGTAGAATTTTTAATTCAAACTACACATGTGTTAACTTGAGGAAGCGCATTCTTACACGGTGCGTTTCCTCAAGTTAACACATGTGAAATCTAATAATGCAAGCCCACCTCAAAGTAGCTTTTGTTGATACTGCACCAAGACATAAAGCGAACAAAGTAATATGGTCATCGTAGACTGCTGTTACTGATTTACTGTATATCATGCAAAATGGTGTTATCATCATTAGTAATGGTATCAGCGGTGATAAAACAGACGTGTCCTAAAATGTACATGGAATCTCAAAAAATTTTGATGAAATCTATAACTATAAAAGATTTCAAATTGAGTTCTTTATTTGAACTTACTGCAACTGTTGATCCATTCTTTCCTACACCTCCAGTAACGACGTCTACGAGATAATCACTAATCTGCGATATGCACATTAAGGAAGAGATGAAAATGGCCACATACTTTAAACTGATATGTAGGAACTGAAAGAAATTAGAGTTCTTTAGCAAAAGAATTCAAATTGACTTTGGGTCCAAAATACCCACATATTACCATCAAAAATAGAAAGCAATAGCATTAAAATGACCTGTTTTGTCCAAAAACTTGTGCCAAATATAGATGTCACCAGTAAAATGACTAAAATAGCCATTTGTGCCTCAGTAACGTCAAATCTGTAAAAATTGAACATCACTTGTGATAATTTTGAATTTGCACAGAAGAAAATTAAAATCTAAATTATCTTGAAAAAGATATCACATCCTGATGCTAGCTTAATAATAAATCACATATAAAATGAACAAAATAACTTACTTTGCAAATTTTAAACGTCCTGTACAATACGTACTCCAATGTGCACAATAAAAAAGTACAACAGATGAAACAGTCACAAAGAGCACCACATAGCGTTCTTGCCCCAATAGCATCGCATAACAAATGTTCAGCGTCACAAGCACTGAATTATTCACATGAGTACAAAAAAAAAAAAAGTTAAATGAGATGAAGGAAATGAGGACAGCATCAAGTACATTTGAAATCGTATGGTGATGGTGAATTAGGAAGCAATTAAAAAATATGTGATTTCTTATACAATAAATAGCGATTTGTAAATATTACATCTAAACAACAAACCTTGTGACATGGCATCACAACCATGATCAAATAGTTCACCTAGAGGCGAACTAGAGTTTGTACGACGAGCCTGCTTCCCATCGGTAGCATCCAATGTTTGATATAAAAAAACGCCAAGTGCTGCTTGGAAATACGCCCAAGATGATGCCTATAGTAACAGCAGTAACTGCTTTACAAATACGCAATAATTTATTCGTAAATTTATTCCTAAGACTGTACCCGAACAATTTATCGATACAGATGATGAATGGCTTATAATACATATGGAAGTCAAACTCACAGCAATTTTGGCGTCGTATGAGAAACAAGCCAAGATGAGTACAGTTACAAGATTTATAAAAAATCCTGACATAGTGATTACATTTGGAGCAACCCACATAGGATAAAATTGAACCACATATTCCCAAAACCTGGAACGTACTGAGTAACAAGAGTGGTATTTCTCGGGTTATTTATAATTCATCTGCTAATATATATTGTAAGAAAATTCATTAGAAAATCTGTTACTAACTTCATGTTTTTAACTACTGTTAGTTCATTAAGGAGATACATATGTAATCCTCAAAAAGATAATCTTCGAGATAAAAATTTGTGAGTAGCTTAATTTTTTTATAAATCTAACAAGTAAATTTAAAAATAAGAATGAGTAGGGAAGTTATTTTAAAAAGTACCGTTTCATGCAATACTCATCAAGCCATGATATATCAACTGATGCATATTTGTGCTCTCGTAAACGATCCATTTGAGCAACTCGAAGCTGACAATCACCTTCCAAATAATCTTCCCATGCATTACATACTGACCACTTCACATATTCCATAGTTCTCTAAATTTCCTACATAATTATCTAAGCCATAAAAACTTTCAGCATAATTTAAATATTTCAATATTTCTTATCAAAAAAAGAAATCGTTGCAATACGAATTGAAAGAGATAGATATATTCAGTATATTCTGATTCATAGGTATATTTAAATATGTGAAAGGAAAATTAAACAGTTATGGAAATTTTCAGAGTAAAGTTTCTATGTGATATTATGAAAAAACACTGAAAAATAAATGAAATTTGTGCTTGCTGTATTGGAGAAAAGAAAAGAAGAAAAAGCAAGGTAGTACGTCATGCAAACGCATGAAGTGTTGGTTACGACTTGTAACAGCTTCGGTAATAAGTATACTTATGAACCGGAACCAGCAGAGCTATTAAGAAACTTTTACTGGAACAGATACCGCACAGCAACTGGACATAAAGTAATAAAGTAGAGCTATAAGTATACCTATGGAGTTACACTATCGCCACTTGCTCTACAACATAGGGTTTATCCCTATGCTTAACGCTGCAGCACTAAGCAGAAGCACAAAAAGTATACGTCTGCAGAAATCGTTATTGTTTTTCCCACCATTTGCTTCCTCACGCACATCAAACTATTGATGAATCAGATGAATAAGTTTTAGACACTTCTAAATGTATTTTGTTTTTGATAAAGGCACTGGTAGAACAAAAATGATAACTTTCAACTTTCGAAAAAAACAACGAAATAGTTTTCTGAGACGAGTAAGAGATCTGGAACAGATTTTGATGTTATCAACAGATTCCGAAGTATGATAAAATAGATCAATCAAAATTAAACAAAAATTTTAACAATTTGTTAGAAGTAACTACCTGAATAACATAATGAAAAATGTGGGCAGCACCATGTGGAAAAATATATTGTGCTTTCCGCAAATGCTCCGTTGAGAAGAAATGATCAACGCCCCTATTTGTTTGCTGCACAATAAATTCAAACCGCAAATATTTGCTTCTTTCATTGCAAACGTTTTTTATAATTTAGTAGGATTTATACTATAAATAAACAAAAGCCAAACTCCAAGTGGCGAAAAATAGCAGATAAGATAATGCTTGAGAAATTTACTAAGCAGACAAAAAGACAGTGCAAAAAAAGAAAAGAAACTACGACCACTCATTCATAAGCAGTTTTAA